AAACAAATAGTTACACATGTCTGCTATTTATTCAGTATATAAACTATTTTATCAGTATTATAGTTATTTGATATACACGTACATAAATAGAAACATATTATCACTTCATCTACCTATAAGTCCTTTATAATGCAGATCATTTTTCACGGTCTAAAATAAAGATTTATAAAAGCATTAAAGAGTATAACAATTTGGTTATGTAAAATATATAATTAATTAAAAGAAGTTTGCAAGACAATTTAACAAATTCCAGATCTAATTCGCCAAGACCGTTCGCAAATGGTGCGATGATCTGATGGCTTCGGTGAACGTATAAACTCCAATCTGCACTATAACTATGTCATTTCCAGAAACCCTACTAATCATCGACTGCCACTGCTAAAGACCCCTACGCGCAAGCGAATTATTGAAATAAAATTGAACCATGTGTTAGTTTGTGTCGAGTGGACACCTTATCTCTCTCTCTCATAGAAAGGTCATCTTGGTGTGGTAGGCGACCCACCTCTTGTCATGTACGAGCCTTGAATCGAAACCACGCCACTGGCAAACTATACGATCTAAAGCGCACGTGTAAGACTATTACTGACCAACCCTACCCATATTTTGATAACCCTGTAAGATTAATAAGTAGAGGTTTAGAAGTGCAAATTATGGCCACCTGAAAACTGCCTGTTAATGAAAACACATTTGTTTAAAAATGGAACTACATATTATTAAACCTTTAAAAAATGTTACATTTCAGAATATTTAATATTAAAGATGCACTATGTAAAATTTAGATAAAGTGCCACCGTTACAAAAATAGATAATGAAAACTGAATTTATTGAAAATTTCATTCAAATTACTTTATTCTGAACGAAGATAAAGCGTAGGGGCCTAGATCGTTCATTATAGCAGCAATGGTACTTGACAACCAACACTTAGTCTCGGTTTTCTATTTTTATCGTTAATTTTTTTTAATCTCGCGGATGTTTTTAAAAATCCATTTAACTCATAGTCATCCGTTGGTTTAGGAGTGGATTCTAGGTTTGTCATGTTAATAAATGTCTAAATAATAATTTTATAACATTTGAAGACAAAAGAAAGACCTGTAATAGGCAAATTTAACGCTTACATAATGCATCTTTAAGTTTGCATTTTTTTGCATTTTTTTTTACAGGCAACCGACTCGGGGATCTAATAATGTTGACGCTGTTATGCCTCTTGAATACTACTTACCGGAATAAGTTTGGCGTTGGAACAGATAGCTGGAATATTAAAGACAGCTGGATCCACAATACCATCTGTTATATCATAGTAGACATCACTCGACAAAAACTGAACTGAAAACAATACTATTCCAATATAATCTCAACTAAATTGTATTCTATATCATTTGTTGCTAGCTCTGCATATATATACAGTGTACCGTATATATTACTAAAAAGGAAGCAAACCCCCCAAAATAGTAACATTGTTGGGCCAGTAGTATTGGCAATACATACGGAAAACGACACCTTGAAATAAATGTTATGAATATAACCAATTATTTATCAAACTGTCTACATTCGATATACCTCCATCATTGATCCCGTGAATAACTTGATAAATAGGTTTGCATTGGTCTGTCACCGAAACAGAAGTAGAAATTCCATTAGTTTCGTATGTATACGTGGTAAAGGAAACGTTATTCTTTCCATCCAAAATCATATGTTTTCCTTCGAGCTTAGCAGTATCTGAAAAAAAAAAGCAACACTGAACACAATTTCATTATGTCATCAAATCAAACAGTAAAATTCAAATTAAGTTTTTTGAAATTTTAAATTATCGATGTCAACGTTATTGTACAAACTGTCATACTTAATTTGAATAGAGAGAGAAATGGGGTTTAACGTCCACGCGACACAAACTAGGTTATTTTGGGATCGACATATGGTTCGATTTTATTTTAATAATTCGCTTGCGCGTAGGGGATTTTAACAGTGGGAGGAAACCGGAGGTCCCGGAGAAAACCCACGAGATTGGATAATTAGGCGACCCTACTCCTTGTCACGTTTTTGTCCAAAGATAGAAATGCAACTAAAACAACAGATTTTTTGGTAAAAATACTAGTTATTTGTCTCAAATCACAAATTTCAGTGATAATACGGATAACGTCCGTCACATAACAAAAAGTAGGGATTTAAAAACATATATTATTTTTTACAGTGCATACTTGACACATGCTTCGACACCAGAAACTTTGGACACCAGGATATTATTTTGATTGCCTGATTGCAGAACTGGTGGACTTCTTTCCATTTTAGAAGTAACTAGAAGAATGCCCGGCTTCGCTCGGGGGTCATAACCCCGAAACCGGAAGTGGTACACTAACGCCACCTGGCCTATGTTACTCCCCGGTCCGAGCTACCCCTATACCCCAAATTTCAGACTCGGGGCAGACCTAGTGTATCCGCCAACCCCGAACAGACAGACAAACGACAGTCAAAAATATTAGTATAGATTATATGTTAAATTTGAAAATTCCAATCGTACCGGTAACGAAATGGATGTTTGGGCGAAATAATGATTTGTATTGTTTCTTGCGTTTAGCTTGTTTGTGTATAGCAATTTTTTTTAAAGATCATTCAGTTGACTTACTTGGTACACACCGGGTATGTGGTGATGAAGGAAGCATTTTCTTGCTGCAGGTATTTCCACTTATAATATATTCAATGCCCTGAAACATGAATTTAAAAGGGTTTGTTTTTCCATATTAAGAATAAATGTCATAGTTGATAGTTTTGCACGATATTCTTGAACTGATCGCATTAGTCATGAGAGAAGAATTAAGATAATTCTATGACCAGTTCTTTGATATCATCATCTGAATTTTCAAAAATGCGACAAAGTGGTACCAGTTGTTTAGAACGAGTACGTATGCCATGTCTTGTACTGTTCACTACCCGAATTTCATCTCTTTGACAGAGGTTAACGCACAAAATTATAGTTTAAACGAAAATGAAAAAATAAATAAACAATACTTACATCTTTAAACATCTGAATAACCTTCCTTTCAACAGTATAGCCATTAGCAGTAACATTTTCATCATATGCTGTTCTTTTATTGGTTAAATCGTGATGAACTTTAATATTTGTCTGGAAAATGGGAGAAAATAAGTAATAATCAACAAAACTGACAATTTCTTTAAATACATAACTCGAGGTATATAATATTGATAATAGATAAAAAGTTATGTCCATATTATATACCTTTATTGTGTTTTGTTTTGTTGTGAATAATTATAGCGTTGGCTGAACCAGAAATGAAGCATTGGTAAGTGACATTTTTTGTAGTCGTCATGAATAGAATTAATGATATTCCATTTTAACAACTATCGATTGATTAACTCTGGTAAATGGATAACGTTTACTATACTTACTACAGAGACAGAAGGTTTTCCATTTTTAATACTACCAGCGGTTTGTCTTTGGATACCTTCCCAGGTATTGGAAACACAGCAGAGTTGAGCTAAACAGCAACCAGAGAGACCAAGCAACAATAACACCGTCTTGAACATCTTCAAACTGTGACAATCTGTCTTCTTGAATTAAAAGTTATCTCCGAATATATACAGAAAAAGGAGATCAGGTTAGTTTTTGTTTAGATAACTATATAAGACATGTTTTAAAAAGTAAGGTATATTATCCAAATTGGATGTTTACGATGACACACGAGACCTTGAAATTCAAATTTCGCAATTCGCACTCTTTTGTTCCATATACCCACATTTTAACAAACCACCTGGTCCACGCCACACATAACAACCAAAGAGAAACCCAGAAGGCCAATCCTCTCACAAAACACATCTGTCAGTATAATAAAAGTATTATCAAATCAATTAACAGAATGACAAAATCGCCCTATACAAGCCAATTACGCTTTAAAACGAAATGAAGCGAACCGAAAAGGTAAGAAATCAAATAGAAAACAGTAGAAGAGGTGTCTTAGATTAATATTAAATTACATGGTGGGAGCCTGTATAGACATTAAAATTCGATAATGTATAGACTGAAACGTCGCTTTATGCCCATCTTCACTATCCCAGTTGGGGCAGACCGAACAGAAAGGTAGTTATACGTTAACCCAATTTCATTTCATTTAAATTCTGTTTTATCTTCAAATAAAAACCCTGCTGCCTATTTTTTTGTAACATCGACAATACTATAAGTTCTTTTCGGGATTCTAGACAAATGTCTGCGTAAACGTCAGGTTTTATTAAATGCAGATCCGAGTCTATGCAATTTTTGTATATTGGAAATTCAGTTTATGTCTACCCTACCCCCCCTCCCCGAAAAAAAAGAATAGATTCAAAATCTGCGATAATGATATTCGGCAAATCCTGAAAATCTGACGATAATGTTCTCACGAAGTTTGTAACCATTTTTTAGTTGGGGGCCCTTTTTATGGTCTTGAATTAACGTCATTTTTGATGAATTTGTAAGCTTGCCAATGAAAATAAAATGGGGTTTAACGTCCTACTGTTCTGCTCCGAACTGGGCTAATGAAGACGGGCATACGCCATACAGTGTGCTATGAGGGAATTTTTGCCCGGACAGCGGCACAACGGCCTACTCTTATATCGAATTCCAACTATCAATGGATCTTTTGCAAGCACGCCAATGTGTACACGGTACCTCGGTTTTTCGTCCCATCTGAATGACTAGACAGCTGTCCTTGTCAGGCCCTCCGTCCTGAACCACGCCGGAAAATCTGGATAAACTTTCTCGGCCAATGCAGGGATCGAACACCCGACCTCCAGGCTAGAGAGCCAGCCTCTTACCCACTTAGCCACCGTGACCCCCGTGAGATTGCCAAATAGTGAATTGTTTACTTAAAAAGTTAAGGCTTATCTATAATCTGGCCTCTTCGTTTGTGTATATAATTTACTTTAATCTTATCTTTAATAAGACCCACACCCTTTTTCTTTATAATATATTCGAATGTAAGCTTAAATTTCACAAGAAGACATTGTCATAAGTTGAAGATGATTAAGACGGTGTTATTGCTACTTGGTCTCTCTGGTTGCTGTTTAGCTCAACTCTGCTGTGTTCCCAATACCTGGGAAGGTATCCAAAGACAAACCGCCGGTAGTATTAAAGATGGAAAACCTACAGTCTCTGTAGTAAGTAGTAATATCATATTACCAGAATTGATCAATTTCTAGTTGTTAAAATAGAATACCATTGTTAATTCTAATAAACTTTACAGCATCTAATACTAAAACTGCCGCTTACCGATACTTTATTTCTGGTTCATATGATTTTGAAATGTTACACTTTTGATTGATAATGTCGTAAAGTGTCGAGTGCCATATGTCCACCACAGCGATAAGAATGACAGTTATGTGGATGATTACTTATTTTCGCACATTTTCCAGACAGATATTAAAGTTCATTATGATTTAACCAACTTTAGAGCAGCATTTGATGAAAATGTTACTGCTAATGGTTATACTGTTCAAGTGAAAGTTATCCAGATGTATAATAATGTAAGTATTATTTATTTATTTGTTTGATTACGGGTTGGTATACTTTAAGCAAAGTTCCAGATAAAGTTCGTGTTTCGTGGGATTCCATAACTTTTTAAATCAATGAACAGCCTCTTTTCTGGAAATATTTTATTTTAAACTTTGAGACATTGGATTGAACCGAAAATCCAAGATGACGGCCAAAATGAACTCGAAAAACATTGTTGACGAAATGACCCGTGTAATATATCATTTCATAGGCTTTGTTGATCACCCGACACATTTTGGACAGTTTCTGATTCATCTTACAAACGGCTGATCCAATATGGCCACCAAAATCCAAAAATGCGACAGAATTTGGCTCTATAAGTATTCTTTCAACATCAATAGCAACACAAACACGTGTGATACCAAGGGTATGACGTTTCAGGGGCTATGGGGGGGCGGTGAAAAACGCGAATATGCCATTCCAAGCTGGTCATGTTCCTGAAGCAACGACTGCGAGTTTTACAACATCTGGATAAGATGTACGTAGTTAAAGCGAGATCAAGCCTTCTATTGAAGATGCAAGCTGGTATAACTGACTTGAATGGAGACAACATACAAAATTAAGCATTTTCGCGAATACAGACCTACACGTGTAATAAAAACAAACATAAACTGTTTAGACATCCATGAATCTTATCCTGCCTATATTTCAGCTATCATAATACATTACAAACTAATATAATGTTGGATTCCGCAGTGTGACTCTCAGATCTCAGAAAACATGTGCAATGAGCTTGGTAGATCACCGGATGTGTATCAATATAGACAAACACTTCCTATTGACTGGGGGGGGGGGGGGTCGGATGGCCGAATGGTTATAAGGTCTGTCATTGAGTCAACTGACGTGGTTTCGATTCCCCGGTTGTACGTGACAAGGAGTAGGGTCGCATGTCCAACCTCGTGGGTTTTCTCCGGGTCCCCCGATTTCCTCCCACTGCTAAAGACCCCTACGCCCAAGCGAATTATTGATTATAGAAATAAAATTGAACCATATGTTAGTCCCGAAATGATCTCTCTCTCTCTCTGTCTCTCCTATTCACTACTTTCGATCCATTCCAAAGAGCCGATGGTGGGTTTAGTTAGCTCTTTTGCCCTTTTGCATAAAACTATCCCAATCTAGTGGCATACGCGTGGTGCACACTACAAATTGTATGCTTCCAAGTCACTGAATAGGTTTTTTTTTCTAATAATAGTGAGCGCATCGGAATTGGAACGTTCATAGTCACAACACATTTAAGGGTCAAATAGAAGTTATTTTATACAAAATATTTCAAGTTTCATAAAAATCGAATCAACATTGTGACTTCTAGAGGGTCCACAACCTTGATATACCATATACATGTATTTACACTATTTGTGTACGAGGGGTGGCCATTTGGTCAGGCAGTTTTGGTCCAGATTTTCACGAAATTGAAACTCAACCATCATTCGGGTGTAACGGTGACATAATCAACGTTGTTTTTTTTTTAAATCGGATAAAAATTGTGACCTTTAGAGGGACCACAATCTAAAAACGCGATTTTTCATACAATCAAGGGCCATAATTCAGGAAGTGATAATCCAATATGCGCGAATATTGAAAGGAACCAAGATCATTGGGTAATAAATAAGGATTTCAAGTTTCATATTTCAGGGTCCACAACCTTGATATACTATATATTTATACTATTTGCGTACAAGGGGCAGCCATTTTGTCCGGCAATTTTGGTCCGATTTTCACGAAATTCGAACTTATGCGTCATTACAGTGTAACGGTAATATATCGGATGAAAATTGTGACCTCTAGAGGGACCACAAGCTACAAACGTGATTATTCGTACAATCAAGGACCATAATTCAGGAAGTTACGACCCGATATGCGCGAAGTTTGATAGGAACCAAGATCTTATGACCGCTAGGGGTCCACAACCTTGATATACCATACTTTTACACTCAAGCGTCATTAAAGTGTAACGGTGATATATTCAAACGGTTTTTTAAATTGGATAATAATTTTTACCTCTACAGGGACCAGACGCTAAAAACGCGATTTTTCGTACTATCAGGGGCCATAATTCAGGAAGTTACGATCCGATATGCGCGAATATCGAAAGGAATCAAGATCTTTGTGTTATAAACATGCATTTCAAGTTTCATCAAAATCAAAGGGCTGGACTGTTTCCGCCTCGGAAGGTCCAGTCAGTCTTCCCTCCCGTGGCGTTCACAATCTTTGGCGGTATATACTGTACCCCATCTTTATTAACAAAAATGTATTTAGCTAATCAGTATTTAAATTCATAATAATCATTCCCAATGTGGTATTTTTGTGTTCTAGTCTATTTTTGTTACATTATTGTTATTACGTATATTATATTTTCCTGTCATTTATTAATAATAAATGGCCTATTCAATTTCATATCGCCTACTGTTATATTTGTCTACAAGGACATTCACTGGGGGCATAATTGTCTGTCGTCATGTCACGGTAAACGTGATTTTTCGTACAATAAGGGTTTTATAATTCATGGAGTTATGGTCCGATATATGCCAATATCGAACGGAACGGAGATCTTTGGGAGATAGACCTATATTTTAAGTTTCGTCAAAATCGAATAAAAATTGTGACCTGTAGAGTGTCCACAAACAAATTGTGGACGGACGGGCGGGCGGACAGGGGCTACGACAATATACGTCTACATGAAAATGTGGACTTATAAAAAAGACTAGGAAGCATACGTTTTATACGTGATAGTTTTAGGAAATAGGTCAAAAGAGCTAACTATACAGCTTGGAAATGGCATATTCGTGCTTCTTGTCTCCCACAACCCATGAAACGACATATCACACGTATATGATGCTATTGGTATTGAAAGAATAACTTTAGAGCTAATTTCTGTTGCCACTTTGGATTTTAGTGGCAATATTGGATCAACTCTTTGTGACATGAATCAGAAACTGTCCAAAATGTGTCGGGTGACCAACAAAACCTATAAAATGATATACATGTATTACATGGGTCATTCCGCCAACAATGTTTGTCAATGTCAATGTCATCTTGGATTTTCAGCGCTCATGGAGTTTACCTATAGATTTTAGATCAGCAAACTACAAATATCTTCACTGGGGCCCCTTCTATCCGAAGCCATCGTCAAACTTTGCTCCCCGAGAAATGGTCACTTATCTAGGAGTTGTGACCCGACTAAAATGTCACATTTACAGAATGTATTTCATCTATACGCATTATAATTATTCCCAGAAATGTATCAGCATATTACAAATACAAACAGTGCTTCGGCAAGACTCTCAGGATGCTTGTTAACATGCTGCTGTCTATAGACGGACCAGTTTACTGAAACGTCACTTTTACAGAATGTATTTCATCTAAACTCTCAGTATGCATATTAATAGCCTATGGAAAACAAAAACTGTTAAATTCATGTTTCAGGGCATTGAATATATTATAAGTGGAAATACTTGCAGCAAGAAAATGATTCCTCCATCACCACAAACCCGCTGTGTACCAAGTAAGTATATTGAATGATCTTCAAAAATGCTTCACACAAAAAAGGGCCAATACAGACCATGATTTACATCCAAAAAAATCATTTTGTTAATTTTACATCCCAATGAGGCTCAGTGCCCCCCTAATGCATTCGGCCAATTAAATATTCTGGTTTCCAACGTTACTGGTTCTGATGTTTGAATTAGTCTGAGTTATCTATTGGATAGTCCTGGTTCTGCCAGATGTCAGTCCAAAAGAAATACTCTACGAATACTGCACCGACTTAACCTGTAGCTTATTTGTCACTCATGCAACTCATCGTTAATGATCATCATTTATTGTATGAATTGTTGCTTTTTTTCAGATTCGGCTAAACTTGAAGGAAAACATTTTATTGTGGATGGAAAGAACAACATTTCTTTTAACACGTATAAATACGAAGCTAACGGAATTTCTGCTTCTATTTCAATGACAGACCATTGCAAACCAATTAGCCAAGTTATTTACGGAGCTAGTAACGGAGGTATTATATTATAATAAATGCGGAAAAATCGATAAAGTTATTGTTATATAGAGGATATTTGTTGTTTTAGAGTGAATAACATATTTTATTTCATCGAGAAGCAAGAAATGAGTGAAAATATAAACGTTTTCTTGCTTAGAGATGAAATAAAATATGTTATTCACGACAAAACGACAAATGTTCTATTTATTTTATGATTTTACAATCATTTTAGGTAAAAACAACATGGACTACTTTAGCCAGTGGAATAACACTTTTATTTCACTGATAAAATGCGGTATTCCACTACTGATCATAAAATAAATTATATTATTGGTTCTAATAAATGTCCGAACCGTCCTCATTAGCCCAGTAGGAGCAGAACATAATCGTTAAGTGACATTTAGCGATTAAGAAATTATTAAACGTAGCACAATTTTTATGGGAGATCGATCCCTGGTTTTATTCTAAAAGCACGACGTTCCGACAAGTATCCTCCTATCGTTATTAAGCACAAATAATAGGAGTTACACACCATTTCATTTCATGTCCGGAAAAAACAAAAGTTACTGTTTTGGATATACATGTAATATATTTCTTTTTTCAAGAACTGCAAGTCAATTGGTTGTATTTAGATCTAGTTGTATCAAAATGATATCGGATACATTTATATTTGGAATATAATATATTTATAAATGATATATAATACATTTATAAAATTTAGTTGAGATTGTATTTGGAATACTTTTGTTTTCAGTTCAGTTTTTGTCGAGTGATGTCTACTATGATATAACAGATGGTATTGTGGATCCAGCTGTCTTTAATATTCCAGCTATCTGTTCCAACGCCAAACTTATTCCGGTAAATAGTTACATATTATTCATGAGACATTTGCCTATTAAAGAAATGTAAAGGATGCCCAACATAGTTAAATCTAGCATTGCATTATAGGTTGTTGAAGGTTTAATAATATACACATACAGTAAGTTTTATATTTTAAAAAAATGTGTGAATAGACTTATAAATTCAATAACCTGATCAGAATGTTAATTAGCTGCTGAGTAAATAAAATAAAAAACACTTAACATATGTTATTTCAACAATTTCTAATCCAGTGGATTAAGATTTTGTTTTCTAACTCGCTTGTATCGTTCGAACCATGTCGTTGGGTCTGTGAATAGGTCAGTGCTTGAAAACACTGTTCCGGTTCTGGCAATTATAGCAGGATTTTATGAGGCTATCATTTACAGATTGGGCGAATTAGGTTTAATTGTTATAGTTTTTAATGTTCTTGTAACTCTTTTTTCAGGTCGGGAAAACTGACCTTAGCAACAAAAGAATTATTGGTCGATGATGCTATTTGATTATTGATAAGATAGTTGATTCACTGAATAAATAGCAGACACGAGTAATTATTTGTTTTATTACTTATTGATTATAGCAGCGCTGGTCATTATTAGCCCATCGGACCAACAGCCCAAAAGAGCTTACTTCATATTCTTTGTCCCTTTCAGTGTTTGGATGGTGTGAAGCAGTGTGGTCATGAGAGGACGAACTCTACCGATATTCAGCGTACCGCGTTTTTCCTTTCCGGTCAGAAGTATTCCCTCCTTTGCCAAAAATTTGTGAACGCGATGAGGGCATTATTTTTTTTTTTATAAAATTGGTGGAAAACATTGGAGTCATAAGGGGGTAAACCCTTTCGATATATATGAACACGATGAGAGTTTTTTTTAAAAATTGGTGGAAAACACTGGAGTCATAAGCGGGTGAAACCTATCGATATTCAGCATTCGGCGACCTTCCCTTTGCCGAAAACCTTGTAAACGCGGTGGATTAGACTACAGTTTTTATTGGATTTGTTTCAAATTTGGTGGGAAACAATGGGGTCATGAGAAGACCAACCCTCTCGGTATTATGCCCCATTTGTCCCGAGGAGGAGCGTAGAGAGTACTCAGAATAGGACTTCAAAGTAAATTGTACTGTCACCAACAACACGAATGCGACAAATACATGAGGGCGGTAAAGGAAACCAAATTACTTTACTAAGAAATGAATTGATTCTACTAATATGTTTGCATGAAGTAATCAGTTAAAGGGAATCTAAATAGACAATAATAATAATAATAATATAATAATAATAATCGTTTTCTATAGCGCTGAACATTCAGTCACTCTGCTCTGTGGTGTTTTACAATGTAAATATGATTCTAAAAAACATACATTTATATAAATTACCGCCCCCCCCCCCCCCAAAAAAAAAAAACAACAAACGAAACAGTCAAGTTACAAAATACAAAATGGAAACTGAAGCATTTAAATTATAGTACAAAAGTTTGGGTAAAAAACAGGGTTTTTAGACATCGTTTAAATATAGCCAAGTTTGGACTATTTTGGACTTCCAGAGCAATTTGTTCCATTCTTTTGGTGCTGCGTACAAATGGTTTGGTGAGAGATACAATTCGAGCTGCTTTATTCGGGATTTTCTGTAGCTGACTTACAAGAGTTTTAGGAAGAGAATACAATAATGAATTACAATAATCTACAGATGAAATAACAAAAGCATTTATTAACATTTTAGTGGCATCAAGGTAAATATAGGGTCGAATTTTACCAATATTATACAGGTGAAAGTTCGCCTTTTGCACAGCCTGGATAAGTTGGTTGGAACTAATTTGTTGATGGTAACTGTGTCTTCACTGCGAATCCGCGAGTCAGTTGCAATAAATAAATCCACATCATTATCAACAACATATTCATTCAGTTCATCAGTTTTATTTCGGACAGATCTAGTATTCAATATGCATAAACTAAACTTTTCAGAATTTTTCTCGTTTTTCACTTTCTTTCCTGGAGCAATTAGGGTCAGATCAATTAAGCTATTAAAATTAACACCTTGGTTGGTCTTGACAATAATGACTGTCTTAAAGTTACAATTTCATATTTTTAAGTTATATTTTTAAAATGTACGGTATCAAAATAAAGCCCTAAAATAGATAGTATCTATAAACAGTCCTGCCTTGTTAAAGAATAATCCTATTAATCCTATAATTCACTATTGCCAGTTGAGAAATTGGCAAAATATCATTTTCAACTTCAAATTCAAACGTTTGAAGATAGCTATTCCATGGTGGGGAATAGGAAAACAAGGGAGGTAATTGGAAGATTTTTAAGTGTGAGAAAGATAACATATGATCGTATAATAGTGAGTTGGCAACCTATTGAGCAAAAGACATAGAAATAATTATGTTTTGACTTTCTTAGAAAATATGAAATTGTAACTTTAATCAATCTTTGTTTATTCTTGCCAGCTCTACGACCCCTCGGTCTCAAATGACTGAACAAGAACAATGGTTGTGTTGACGAGTATATCATGTCACTGTAGCAAATCCTGGTTCATGATGAATTTATTTCACAATAAAGTGAATATGCATAATAAAAGTTACCAAAACTACCGTATGAATCAATCTTTTTCTGATTTTGTTTCTCACTAGAGTTGTGTACCGTGATACAGCCCCAGTCCAAAAATCACATAAATCCAAATCCTTATTCACAACAATAATTAGTAAAAACACAGAGCAACATAAAACATGTGCTGTCCTTAGGCGCTCTATACAATCCAATATTTAATCTTACATCGGTTAGTACAAATATTATATTTTGAAATTAATAAAAGTAAGGTTCGAATAAATGGGAGAGTTTTGTCACATAGAAACGTCGCTAAAAATAAAATAGTATTCCATAGAATTGTGTTCTGTGTATATCAAGGGATACTTCCTTGTAGCCAAATATTACTAATTTAGTTCATATTACCCTTTTAATATTAATTTGGTTAAAATTAGCGGAAGTATTTATATTTATAAATAAACATGCATCAAATATAATATGAAAGTAGATAAATAGAATTTGCAGAATACAAGTTTGATTTCCTGATTGTAATTAAACATACATTATGCAAGAGCAAAATCTGATTATTGCAAGTCTTAATTTAGGCTTCAGATGTTATAGAAATTATAAATTAGATCTTTATTTAAACATCTAGCCCAAAATCAACTCTGTAGACCCACGGATGGCTCGGCTACAGCTCGGATTTAAATAGGATTTCACTCATTGATAAATTCAAATATGGCGCACCCTGATGATAATACGTCAGTTAGATCGAGGCAAAATGATAGAGTGTACTTAGTGAGGCCGCTGTAGAGCGTTTCCGCATGCCATTGAAAACATTACTTGATAATCGAGATATGTAGGTGGAGTTAACGCCTGTCAATCAAACGATCGGCCAAGGTGAAGGCACATTTCACTACCATTTCTAGTCAAATATTACAACGATGACAACTATGTTCAGAATAAAGTAATTTGACTGAAATTTTCAATATATTCTTCTTTCATCATCTACTTTTGAACTGTTATAGCAAGAATGGTCAACTCTCTATAAAAATCTCCCATAATGTATCTTTAATGAAATAAAAAGGAACAGAATGGAGTTTAACTTCTCGTCAATACACTACTTCAATCCAAGGTATACACGGAACCTCAGGTTTTTCGTGCCAAAAGCACCAGGCAATTAATTATCCCACTGCCCTTGCATTTTTAGCCGGCTAAAATGGATAAAACGGGTCAATCTTTTAGGTGGAAGTTGGATTCGAGATTATTGTTCAGTATAATAAACGTCAAAGTGCACCAAATCAGTTCTTGTTTCTAGTGATTTGAATTACATTCTGATCTGACGGGATTAAAATGGTAACCGGATATAAGATGTCAGACTACTTCATTTCTGCACCAGAATTTCAGAAATTTTCCAGGAGGAGGATTAGGGGTGAGAGAACATACTCCGTCCCCTCACCTTACATAACCTCCCCACCCCCAACCCTCACCTCGGACGTTCCGGCGCCCCTGTTTACGTATCCCTCTCAAAGTAACTCGCTGTCAGTGGTAAGTACCCGTCTTAAAAAATTCCTGAAGGTTCTTCTCAGCGGCCAACACTTGGATGCAAACCTGGGGACATTGTATCCGAAAAGCCATTGCCCTGACGCTCGATTACCACGGCCCCATAGGCATATCAAGGAGCAGAATGTGGGATGATGATAAATAAAAGCATTATTGAAGATGAGAGAGTTGGAGGGGAGTTGGAACAGGGGACATAACTATAATGCGCTTTAATTATCTAGCGTACGGATTCAAACAACCAAGACGAATGTAAAGTAGAAAATTATTGATGGCTTTAGAAATAGTACATATGGGAATATTTTTCATGAAATGGTAATACAACGTACATGTTTGAAAATAGTTCCAATATTTTGATTAATTGCTATGCGAGTTTTAAAAACGTTTATGTAATGACAAAACTGCATCATGTAACAACAAAGTCACATCATGTAACCGAATACGCACATTACATAATGACAAAATCACACCATGTTGCGCGTAATGTAATATGCACATCACATAATGATAAAATCACATCACGTAATTAAATAACTACAGATTCATACCGCCAAGACGAATACATTATAGTGTTACATAATGGCAGATGTTATTGATAGTTATCGTGCCATCTTGACGCATTAAAGCAGAATGGATTAAACAGTGAGGCTGATGTTCTCCGCCGAAATTCCCAAATAAATAGATGACACATATTAATTAATCGCACATCTAATTTTTCAAAAGTATAGAGCAATCAAACTTATCTTGTCCCAAAGCATCGACTAAGGAAATTGCTCATCTCTGCTTAGCTTTAGCTAGATATGTTAAACATCTACATAAAGTTTAAACATTCTACCTCAATTAGTAGAAGCAGAGTTGTTATGTTCCCAAGTCTTGACCAATCAAAATGCTTATTGCTCCTTAGCCAAAGCAGACAATTCTCATTATAGAACTTGGTCAAGGCATTGATGTAATGAAACTACACACCAAGTTTCATCACTCTCACTTAATTAGAACTAAAGTTATCGTGTCCCAAAGCATCAACCAATCAAATTGCTTATCTGTACTTACCATAAGCAGCAAATGCTCATCTTCGCACTCTATCAAGGCATTGACCTCATAAACACCAAGTTTCACCACTCTCACTTAATTGGAACTAAAGTTATCGTGTCCCAATCTGGTTAAAACACAGATCCTATTTCGTTTCGTTTTTATAGTTCAAAATTTCGTTTTACTTGTCTTCACTACACTTGGATCTGGAAGAGTTATTATTTAACTCGTGTTCTGAATGGTGTCAGGGATAAGCCAATGAAACGGTCTGTTACGGCGAGCTTTAGGTGTGTTTTCCACGGAACTGTGGGTAATCCACTAGTAACATCAATGCTGATTGGTTAATTAAATGTCTGACGTCAAAAGGGTCATAAGTCGGTC